AGAATCGTTCTCATCTGCTATAGGGCAATGTGAATGTTGAGCTGTTTTAGCTCTGTTTCCCCAATCCATTAGGTTCCGCCTCTCTCGCCTATTTCTAGGTGGAGGGGCCTGAACCTCTTGACTTTGTGCACGCCCCTGCTGTCGAGCTATCTGGTGTAGGGGCTGGTCCCTATTTCTAGGCATCCGCCCGATTCGATCAAACACACTGGTAGAACGTTGAGGTCGGTTCATACTCCGGAGGGAAATTGTACTCTCCTACATGGGCATCATCAGTCGGAGCGCCAGTATAGTTGGAAGTATTCATTCCCACTTCCCTTTCAGGAGACGCTTCTTCCTGCGGGCTCAGTCGAGTTCTCCTGCTAGATGCGGCCTCAGCTTGTCTATGGGCTGAGTGTTGGGGATTTTGTAGGGCTTGAAAACCACCCTGATTCTGCACTTGCTTGAGGAGCTCTTGCATAGCTGCGTTCTAGGCTACAATGGTCCTCATGTTGGCTGCCATGTGAGCTACCTCGGCTGTTAAATACGCGGCAGTTCTTCCACCCCTGCGATAACGATGGTGAGGCCATTGATGTGTAACATTCGCTCAGATGACCTCTTCCTCATAGACATCCCTTGTTCTTCTTGCATTCACCTCTTCGTTACTAGAACTCATGAACACATGTGACAAATGTAATGAAGCTTAATGTACAGATTCTTTTTCAAGAACCAATCACTTTTTCAAGGGAGAGCATCAACCGGCTATTCAAGCAACTTTTGGTGGGAAGACTCGTGGTTAAAGTAACTTTCCCACAGATGACGCCAATCTGTTGACCTCAAAAAATGGCTCCGACACGTGGCCAACAGAAAATGTCTTCAAGTCAGCTCTTTCTGCACACGTGGCACATCGTAGTCACTCGTGGCCTTTCCCGGAGGGGTTGGGAGCGGCCGTAAGCAATCCGACGATCAAGGTAGTTTGAAGTTCAATCGGAGAAGAGAACTTGTCGGGAAGTGGTTGACAAAGTGTGTATCGAAAAATAATAATATTTGAGGGAAGAGAGTACTTAATTTCACAATGTAGTGGTAGTTTGGAGTGTGTTGGATTCCAATCCTTCTTCAGGCATAAGGAGGGAGTATTTGTACCAAGGATGGGAAGAGGTAAGTCATTGGATGAGGAGACACGTGTTGCCAGATCTTCAAGGCTCGTCCCATCTTAGGTGTCAATCCGTCCCTCCATAGGTTGGCTGACATTGAATGTTCCTGACAAAAGTAATTGATTTGACCGTTTGGGTCCTGCCGCACATCCCAACAGTCAGTGACTTGACTTAGGAAGGATCTTTGTACTAGGGATCTTTGATGAGGCTAGACGAGGCAGGAGAGGCGTTGCAGTGTTTGTAGAAGCGGAGTGATGGCCTTTACATCCACGGTACATGTGCAGATGAGTCCGATTCGTTTGCTAACGCCTATTCAGTTCGTTCCTATGGCATGGTGTGGGCCACCTCTGATGACACGCGGAGGGTGAGGTGGCGGGTCTGACTCAGGCCCGTAACAAACATCAATCTAGATAGCGCTAAGTGATAAACTCAATGAAACGTAGAATTAAGTGATTCATTTAATTATACCTCTCATTTAGTACTACATTAGTTCTATCTAGATTATATTTTAACACTAGTGGTACTAAATAACATTACTGTATTAATAAATATCATGATTCAAATTATAATTTATTTTATGAATTGACATTTGGAAAGAAGTCTTTCTAATGATCAATTAATTAATTAAGACGGAATTAGTAATATTACCCACGAACGTATTAAATGGTTGCAACCTTTTTTCCTATTAATTTCAATCAAATTCAACAATTTAACTTGTCTCGTTTTGATTTCTTCCCTTTCAAAACTATCAAAGTTAAAAATGAGAAGGAGAATAACAAAACGAATAAAAATGAACAAAAAAGAAATGAAGAGAGTTAAAAGACATATTAAATATGAGATATTATTAGACACTTTCTGAGCTTTATAATAATATATTACACTTCCTCCCATGTTTGAAAAACCATACAACCCTCTTATACTCATAGTTTTCAGTCTCACATACCCTTAATCACTTTTTTGAACAATATACATACATTGCCTTAAAAGAGAGAATAGGGCCGTTATTGTTCATTCTGGTGGAGGTGCTTTCACACTACTATAGCTAAACTGGTTGTACAAACTGTAACAAAGCTGGTTGTTCACTATTTTACTATTTTTTTCTTCTTAAAATAGAGGATATCTTAGTCACTATTCATTGTGCACTCCCATTTTCACACTTAACTGGCTATGTATTATTTATAAATGGGGAATTTCATAAATGTCACTAAATTTGAAAATCCAAAAAAAATGTCATTTTCACTTTTTTTGAGCAAAAATTTCACTTTTTTATTACAAAATGTCCAAATTATCCTTAATAGCACCTTTTGAAGAGCATTTAATGTTTGATTTGAAT